ATTAGGGTATACATACGCTAAGGTGAAGAAAGGAATGTATATAGACGGACATGAGAGGGAAGATGTAATATCCTATAGAAAAATATTTTTAGAACGAATGAGTAAACTTGAAGATAGGATGCCTATTTTTTCAGGAGATAATTTGGAAAAGATAACTTGGCCAGATAATAACGCGCAACCACTTATCCTTGTCACATATGATGAGTGCATTTTTTCAGCTTATGATGGAAGTCGAAGTCTTTGGATTCCTAATGGAGATCAGCCTTTAAGAAAAAAAGGTAATGGTCGTTCGATTCTTGTTAGTGATTTCCTAACCGAAGTTTGTGGCTGCTTTACTCTTTCCGACGAAATGCAGTCACTAGATAGTTTTCCCAGAGAAGCCTGTGTCATTATGCATTTGGAAAAAAACAGTGATGGATGGTGAAAGGCTGAAGACTTAGTAAAACAGGTAGTTGAACGTGCTATACCCATATTTGAAACACGTTTTCCAAGATGCCAAGCCTTGTTTGCTTTTGATAATGCATCAAGTCATGCTGCTTTTTCACCAGATGCACTTATTGCAAAATGTATGAACCTCAGTCCTGGTGGAAAACAGCCGAAAATGCATAGCACATATTTTGGTGATGGGATTCAACAGGACATAATTTTTCCATTAGATTATTATATTTCTAAGTTACGTGGACAGCTAAAAGGACTAAAACAAGTTTTAATAGAAAGGGGATTGTGGCCAAACGAAGGGTTAAAATTAGAAGAAGCACGAAAAGTAATAAGTCAGCAACCAGACTTTTTAGTACAAAAAGGACAATTAGAAGAGGTTATTATTGCAGTTGGACATCAAGTTATATTTTATCCCAAGTTTCATTGTGAGCTTAACTACATTGAGAACTTTTGGAGTGCAGCAAAAAAATTTAGTCGGCTGAATTGTGATTACTCGTGGACAGGATTACAAAAAACAGTTACATTGGCCCTTGCTTCTATCTTACTTACAACTATCCGCCAGTATGCAAGAAAAGCGTTTTGTTATATAGATGTATATCGAAAAGGCTTAACAGGACAGGCAGCAGAATTTGCGGTTAAAAAGTATCATTCGCATCATCGGATTCCTGATTCAGTTGATATCTAACAAATTAGGTTCTTTTGCATAGATTTATTTACACCAGCTAAAGGCAATAGAA